ATTAATAGTTGTAATTACTAGACAGAGAAAAATAAGATAAAAATATAAGATAAAATGGGAATCTTTTCTCACGGTATTTGTAATTACACATTGAAACAGCAGTTGCCTAGGCTCCTTAAAATGATTGGAGTTTAAAATGATAAAATATTATTGTATGTTAATAATTCGACACAAATGAAGCAAAAGTTTAGAAGGAAAAATTATAAAGAGGAAAACTATTGAATTGGTGTAAAAAAACTGTTTTGTAGGAGATGAGAAAGAGAGAAATTTAGAAACCCATGGTACGTTCTTTATGAAAAAAATTATTGTGTATATCAAACACAATGATAGAGAAAATGATATTGATATTACCTATTCAAGTTCCTTTAATTAAGGTCAAGCAATAAAAAGAAATAAAAAAAAAAAAAAACAGAATTCTGAAATATAATTTGAATATACTATAAAATAAAACTGTTTTGATATATCTTTGTCGATTTTGCATTTATTTTCATTACAGAAAAGCAAACAAAAGAACCATTTATTAAAAAATCACAGAAGTCAAGTAAGTGTTTTTTTTTTAAAAGATTTTTCTGATAATGGAAAAAATATTATCAATCAAGCTGACAAAAATATTTTCCAGCAAATTAGTCTAAAATCAAAGATTAAATTAAAAGTCCAAATACACTGATTGTACTTTAAACAAAAAGACACAGGATGAAATAACACCAATCAATAGATGCAATGGTAACTGAATGCTTGTAGAATGAAAGCTGGAAAGGAACTGAAATGATCTTTTCCCGAGACCTTTCTGTGATCTTTCAGTTATCATTAAGTCAACTGAATGATACATGAATTTCAAATTAATTCTTATTAGTAATAGGGTACGTAGATATAAGGTACCACTGTCTAGTTGGTAGAGTATGCCAGAGCATCAATGATAGTTGATAATTTGCATTACTGGCGATGGGGTAATGGTAATGTATAATGGAAATTACCAGGAATTTATTACACATTAAGATGTAATTAAAAGTAAGTGTAATTGGCCAATTTTTTTCAATTGGATGTGATTGTAATAATAAATCTCTTTGGAAAAAGGCGCCCATTGACAGTCACTTTTAAAATACATGTGAATCAATTACAATCCCCTTTTCCTATTTTCAGTCAATTACTGTTTCCTCTTATGTATTTTCTTGAAAGTTTGAATTAAAATATTCCTGTCCATAATATGTAAATGAAATTAATATATTGGATTCAATTGTTTATTGATTAATATCTTAAATTAAACTATTAATTTGCATCAATGTATCAGAGAGCTTTAAATTGTTACTTAAGAAAATACAGTTATAACCAAAGCGGTACACTTGATACAAGTCATACATTACGTATATATGTCACATATACCCTATGTAAAATATCTTCATCATGGCAGAAAAAAAATCTTTAAACCGGATAAAAGTAGGTTATCAGACACAGTGTTGAAACTTTCATTAATATATAAACATTGTAAATCTGTATGAATACAAATGAACGGTCATCGCTATTTTATTTGCTAATTGTAATTTGTAATTTAAGTAATTGCATTTGCAAAGTGATCCTTATTCAACATTTTTAAATTCTTGTAATGGTAATGGTGATGTAAGCGTAATTTTTTTGAACAGATGTTTAATTTATTTTATTACTTTCAATAAATTTGTACCATCTTTGAAACAAAAGACAATGTACTACTAACACTGCGCCATAGAGAGAAGAAGCAGATTTGAGTTTACCTGAGCTTTTCTGATCACATTTTGTCCGTCGTCCGTCAGTCTGTATGTCCGTCTGTAAACTTTTCACATTTTTGACTTCTTCTCAAGAACCACTAGGCCAATTTGGACAAAACTTGGTACGAAGCATCCTTGGTAAAGGGGAATTTAAATTGTTAAAATGACGGGCCACGTCCACTCACAAGAGGTGATAATCAAGAAAAGACAAAAATAAGATGGGGTCATTAAAAAAAATCTTCTCAAGAACCACTGGGCCAGAAAAGCTGAAATTTGTGTGGAAATATCCTGGGGTAGTGTGGATTCTAAATTGTTCAAATTATGACCCCCATGGGTAGGGTGGGCCACAATGGGGAATCAAAGTTTTACTTTAAGTTAACTGGTGTGGAAGCATCGGCTATCTAGGCAAGTCAATAAACTTGCTTTCGATGCCAATGGAATTCTCGCGGCGCTGCCCTACACTACACGGTCATTGAGAATAGAAGTGAGATACAGTTATTTGGACATTAGTTTTAACAGAGGATTGTTACCAATACATGTTGTGATGAAATTTTAATTATTATTTATAAAGCACATTTTACAACAACTCTTAAACTAACATAACTGCCCTAAGTGAAGAAATATTAATATAGAAAGCACATTACACATAATTGTGGTGGATCACAGGACTTTGATATTTTTACTTGAATGGCCTTAGAAAAGATACACAATGCATGATCTTATCTAAACTTCTTAGTGGTAAATCCGAGAGGAATGGAAATAAAATAAATGCCATTAACTAGACAGGATCAATAAAACAAGAGGCCCATCCGCCACATGGCTCACCCGAGAAGCTTTGACTATTCTGTTCTTTACTAGAGTTTCGCCTTATAATACATATTGTGACCAAACTCTACCCCACTGATCATAATTAAGACGATTTAGAATCTACTCTATCCCATGATGCTTCCATATAAGTTTTAGCTCTTCTGGCCCAGTGGTTCATGAGAAGAAGATTTTCAAAGAATTTTCCTATATATACTGGACAAAAAAAGTTAAGGATCATCAAATGAAATATGTTTTGCAAATATTGTATCATAGAAAACAGAAGGCAGTTTTTATTTGAGCATCATATCTTATATTTAAAAACTGAAAATTAAACATTGGATGTGATAAATTTGTTTAAACACACGATACGAATTGTTCATTTAGGTCACTTTAGAATTCGGCATGTTGGGGGTAGACCTGAAAATGAGATTTTTTTCCGAAGATTTAAATTACGTCACTAAAGTGATTGCCAGTATTTTGTATGATCTCCCTGCAAGGGCCTGCAGCGCAGACCCATGATGCCCGTCAGCCGTCCAAGGCTAGCCTGAGGGATCTGTTGCCATAACTCTTGCAATGCTGTCTGAAGTTTCCGTCGATTTTGGGGAAGTGTAAGACGAACTGAAATGCGTTGATAAAGAATGTTCCAGGCATGTTCAATTAACTTCAGGTCTAGAAAACGACTTGGTGGGTCCATACGCTAAGTTGTTTCACTTTCCATGTACTCGTTTAGGATTCGGACTCTATGAGGTCGAGCTTTATCGTCCATTAAGATGAAATCTTCCCCCAGAAAACATGCAATAAGTCTTACAATAGGAGGAAGAATATCATTTCGGTATTTTAAACCAGTAAGGTTACCTTCCAAAATGTGCAGATCAGTTCTGCAGTCAATACTTCTGCCTGCCTAAATCATCACCAAACCTCCATTTACTCTGTATTGTTCAGAAATGAAACAATCAGCAAATCTTTCCCCATTTTCAATCAAAGCAAGTCTTCTGTCATCATGGATGTCCAAACAAAATCATGACTCGTCTGAGAGGAGAACAGAACACCAATGACGTTATTGTAAATTTTTTGTGTTGTGTTACCCACTGTAGTCGATTTCTGCGGCACTCCAATTTTAATACAGGACGTGTGGCTGATCGGCAAGCTTTGAGATTTGCTTCGTGAAGTCTGTTTCAAACAGTTTGAGTAGAAATCCGTCTGTCTGTTGCTCTCTGATGCCCAGTTGTAAGCTTAAGAGCACTTTGGAAGCGTTGCGTCTCAGCAAAATTGACCAAATAACGATCCTCACTGACTGCCGTACATCTTGGACATCCCGATTTTAGTCTTTTGTGACAATTTTCTGCCTGTAAATATCCGTTCCATAATCGTTAATTCCGCTTTTGGAAAGATAAAGTCTCTCTGCAACGTGACGTTGCGTTTTGCCAGCTTCCAGCATCCATGCTGCCATGGAGTGTTCGTCCATACTCATATGCCTCTTAATAGCGTCTTATAACCAGTTCTGGCCAGATATACTGAAATTTTCTTATGATCACTTAAGAAAACCCTCTTTGATAATTTTATGCTTCCATTGTTCCACTTACTTTTTTAACGCCACGTACTTTCTTGACCAATTTGTCCCAAAACCCAATAAACACGTGTGATATAAGTATCGAATCATGTTAATGACATGTTTTTAAACTACTTAAGCCTTGTTGTCACATAAATTCATGGGTATGAAAAATCATTCTTGTGTAAAAATATGATCCCTAACTTATTTTGCCCAGTATTATTTCTCTTTGTACATGTAATACTTTGATTTCTGATTGTGGCCCCGCCCTACCACTAGGGGTCATGATTAGATTACTTTTGAATCTATATATACACTGTACTACCCCAGGATGCTTTCACATATTAAGTTTCAGCTTTTCTGGCCCAGTGGTTCTTAAGAAGTTTTTTTTTTACCCCACCATATTTTTTGAAATTAGCATCTTCAAAAAAAAAAACATCCAAGTACATTAGTCAGATTTTTTGTTTAATAATGTTTTGTTCAAGGTCAGCGAACTATTCTTGTCCATACTGTATTGCAATGTTTCCTTTGGTGAGTATATCTATATTAAGTGGTATTCTAAAAGAAAATGCAAAAGCAGTCCTACGGCAGTCACAAATTAGTATCACAGCGATCATAGGGTAGTCTATAGTAATCCTAGAGTAGTCCCACAACAGCCCTTGAAACTGCATTCTTGAACCTATTTGATGTCAGATTGGGTCTGGGCTCTACAATTCAATGGTAGTTTTTAGAAAAAAAAATAAAGAATTATGAATGAAAACAATAAGGTAACTGAATTTTTCTCTATATTATACTGATTTAATTTTGAGAAAAATAACCAATTTCAGTGAAAGAACAAAAATCAAAAAATAAGCAAGAGACGAGGGGGTGGCATGCTGAGTACGCTGAGAAAGAGACAAAGACAGTCCATTACGCCCGGGGGATGATTGTAGGATGTGCTGGGGCGGGGAAAACCACGCTACTTAAACGTCTGCTCGGTTGTTGTGAAGAAGAGATTAAGGAAGTAAAATCTACTGAGGGCTTGGAGGTGCATGAAGAAATATTTGAATTGTGTGAAGAAACAAAATCTTTAGAAGGTAATGTATACATTTCTGGTACATTTTATAAACATACATGGAGAAAATATCTTCTGTATGAAGGTGTCAGAGGTTAGAGGTCAGTACATGGCTGAGTCACACGACGCAAAAATATCTACCAGTTCATAAATATAAAGTGGCTTGCTCTGCTTTTTATACAACCAAAACAAGTATTGCATACATTTATGGCGATCGATGTTACCTGTGTAAATAAAAAATATACAAATAGAAACAAGCTTTTTTTAACCAGTTTTATGCAAAAGTTGTCCATCAGTGGCGTAGCTAGGACTTTGTTAAAGTGTAGACACAAATTATGGCACGGGGTCTTTGGGCCGAGTTAGGCCGCAAGCGGGTCTAGGGCTGCGATCTGGTGGGGGATCCAGGGGGCGAAGCCCCCCCAACGGAAAATGAATTTCACTATTATCAGACCCCTGGGAAACAGATTCTGGGTCTTTGAATGATTGATTGTAAAGTATTTAATGTCCCTCTCGAGAATTTTTCACTCATATGGAGTCGCCACCACTTACCGGTGGAGAGCTGCAAATTTTGTCCTACACTCAGCACTCAGGGCCATTGAGCAGGGAGGGATCGTTTTTGTGCCAGCATCTGCTGCGACACGGGGCCTTGGTTTATAGGGTCTCCTCCACGGGACCGGTCTCCTTGTCCCACAATGGGATTCGAATCCGCGACGTAAGGATTGACTCCTTACTTCACGGCTCTAGAGCAGACGCTCTTAATTACCACTGGGTCTATGAAAACAAAATTCTATCTCTTTATGATATAAAGAAAAACTCTTTTTAATGTTGCATTTCCGACTTTTTTAAAGAGTTAATCTTTAGTTAGGAGAGTTTATGTATCTTTTAACGTAATCATTTAGAACAAGGAGGAGGAATTTATTTTTAAAAACTTAAAAAAAAAACAAACCAAAATCTAGACATGGCAATTATATGATATCAAGACGTCTATTTGTTTATATTGTAAATTTCTTTCTGATAACCCCCCCCCCCCCCACACACACACACACAGACACACGTTTTGAAAAACAATACTACAGGACACAAGTTTTTGGTTGATTATTCTTTTAAAAAAGACATTTCTTCAAGAGGTAATTTTCATGAATTGTTTTCAGATGAATTCAAAATTGAAAATGACCACTGCATCAAATTGATATTTTTTATGCACACCCTGAGTAAAATGCTTTTATACAGAAATAATTTGAATTTGTAGCCAAATCAAGTGACCTCGGGTAGGTGAATACAGCTATGTAGTTAAATCAAGCTACGTAGCTAAATCTAGTGATTGTACTGGACCTGAATGATATAGGCTAAATCTATATTTCTTTCATTAAATTCAATAAATGATGAATGCGTAATTTCATTGGAAAATATCAAATAATTGCAATCATGCCACAGCAGCTAAAAATTAAACACCTCGATTGGCGCTGTCGAAGTTTAGTGCTGGGTGTTTTAATCAAGTCAAATACATATACTTGTTTGCAAATTCACTGGCTTTATATTATCTTTAAGCATTTTTCGGTAATACTTACTACATATACCGTTTCATTGTTGAATTCGACTTTTCCACTCGGCGAGTAGATTTTTGACGCTGTTTACGCATATACGGACTCGGAGACTAAAGTAAATCTTAAGCATGCCATGTACGACTGTAAAGATAATTATAGCGTAGAAGATCTAGACATCAACAGATTTTAATATTTTGTCAGTGCATTTCCTTTGCAAGTGTAAATGAGTGCGATTCTAAATCTGGGGAAGGGGTACTCTGTGTTTATTCAGAGATAGAAACCTTGTGTTATTATTATGCTTAGTTTTAGGTTGAAATTTATTATCTCTGTAAACATCAGGAAGATATACATAGTACTAATACATTTGGGGATTTATTATTTATTTGATATAATAAATATGGACTCAATGCACGGTCGATATACTCCATGTATCTGAAGTCAATATCTGTCATCGTGGGTCATTATAAATGCATTTTGACCTACATTGAGTCCATTTTTGTATAATAACACTACCACAAATTTCCATAATTATTGCATCAGGAAATTTTACTTTAGCTCCTGGAAATGACGGCGCGTTTAGAATATGTGGTAGTTTTTATTGTCATTGTATTATTTTAGTTTTAAAAATAATAACAAGTTGTTTTGACATTGCGGCGTATATAATCAGTTGATTAAAAAAAGTATTATTACCTAATCAAGTGATTTTTGTTGTTTTATTGGAGATTTAATATTTTCATCTATTTTGGATGTGTTTTCAGTTTCCTTATCTTTTCAAACCGATCTATTAACCGGTCAATAGAATGCGCGTTCTCTTGACCGGTCAATAGACTGCGCGTTCTATTGACCGGTCAATAGACTGCGCGTTCTATTGACCGGTGACGTATTTCGTCAAAAACGATCCGGGTTTAGAATAAAGTTGTTTGTTACATTGCACAGACATGGTTAACAATTATCTTATTCGATCTTGCTGCATTAGTTTTAGAAATTGTGTGATTTCAATGGTCGGATATTTTATTTAATGAGAGTTACTTTTAATTAATACACTGTGAGATGTTGTCCCATGTAGCAGTAGGTGCTCTGCTGGCGCGAAAAAGTCCCCTCTCCACCAGGAAGTGGTAGCGTCTCCATAAGAGAGAAAAATTTTCGAAAGGAATGTAAACAATAGTCTATACAATCAATCTTTAATTAATATTACAGATGCACCGTATCTAGGTAAAAAATAACAATATGGTACGGGAACCTTATGTACTGAACATACAATTTTGAACACTTAATACGGAAAATAAAAATTAGGTAATAAAACAATTGCCTCAAGCAATAAAACACACTGAGCTGTTCCCTGCACCTCGGGAAAAATATTCTGGTCTATTGACTGCTCAGGCATTAAATAATTGTATAATATTATACTTTCATGTAAATTACTTTAATCTGATTCGTCGAGAAACATTTGATAAAAAACACTACTACCCGCTGAATAATGAAGCCACGCCCTCCTGCGTAGCAACAGTCAACATTGCTTGACGACAGGTGGTATTACAAAAAATAGCGACTGCGCGGAATTTATGCGCGCACGGTTCACTGTAATATGTATTTGTATAAAACATTCAGTATAATATAATAAATATAGCATGTAGTTGAGTGTAACATTGAAAATTTTCACCCCTCGAAAACCATTGTCAACCTCGGCTGCGCCACGGTTGACAATGGTTTTCTTGGGGGTGAAAATTTTCAATGTTACACTCAACTACATGCAATATTTATATAATGTTTCATGCATAGATAGATGTTACCATATGCACATATCGATGAATCGAAGGGCATCCAATTTTGACCTTTAACTTTAATCACCACTAACTGCCTTTGAGCACTGTTGCAACCACTATTGAAATAACAACCACCATTGAAAAAATTATATCAATAATGTTTGAGAATAAATTTCAATAGCAAACATATTAAGCAAACACTATTTAAATACGACCACTATTGAAATAATTATATCAATAGTGGTTGAGAGTGCATTATAATAACATACATAGTTAGTAACCTTTATTGAAATACGACCACTATTAAATAATTATATCTATAGTGGTTGTGAGCGCATTTCAATGACAAACATAGTTAGTAACGACTATTGAAATACGACCTATATGACGATATATATTTTTTCAAAAGTGGGTTGGACTGCACTTAAATATAATAACCATAGGTTTCGCCCACTTTTAGAATACCAGCACTTCTAAAATAATTATTCAATAGTGGGTGAGAGTGCATTTCAATATGATAACCATAGGTTTCAACTACTATCAAAATACTACCAGTATTGAAAGAAAAGTTTCACCGTGTCCACAACTTATTTCAATAGTGGTTATTACCTATGTTTGTTATTGAAAAGCTGTCTCACCCATTATTGAAATAACTATTTCAATAGTGGTCGTATTGCAAAATTGGTTATTACCTATGTTTATTATTGAAATGCTCTCTCAACCACTATTGGTATAACTATTTCAATAGTGGTTGTATTTAAATAGTGGTTACCAACTATGTTTGCTAATGAAATGCACTCTCAACCACTATTGATAAAATTATTTCAATGGCCGCTAGTGCTGATTAAAGTCATAGGTTGCAAAAGAGCAGTAAGGGAACTTTATCATGCCAACGCTTGCCGTGACATGGGGCCTCGGTTTTAAGGTCTCATCCGAAAGACCCTCAACTTTCTTTTCAAGTGCAGAGCACGTGGCAAAAAAAAAAAAAAAAAAAACAGTAGCTACCCAATTTATATCGACTAAGGTTAGTAGCTGCTGAGATTCGAACTCACGACCTAGATACCGAACACTGAGCGATTCGTGAATGGTTCCACGCGTTTAAGATGTACATGTGAAATGCCCGGTCATTTTTGACATAAAATACCCCTCCCCCTCCCGATCTACTAAAGTTTAAACATAGAATAAAATCACTTGTCTGCAGATTATTCTATATACTAGCTCGGTTTAATTATTTTTTTTTTGTAACAGTATAATCAACTCTCTAAGCTTTCTCAATATACATACTTGTAATCCTGGCTTATCTCTAAAAGATACCGGTGTATACAACGAATTTTTTTTTTTTTAGTTTTTTCCGATTTTTTTAATTTATCAAGTTTGTTAGACTTGAATTTAACACTGTGAGGACTAACATTTTTTTGTTTAAATACATAAAATAGTTCATTAAAACATATTGTAGATGTAATGCATGTTATTCAGACTGTAAACTTACCCTCCCCCTTCCCTTCCGCCTTTTGAAAAAGGGCCTCTCCCATTGTCTGAAATAAAAAAAGAAATGTAGCATGTTAGTTTTGTAGCCAAGAGACGTACATAGAACAAGGTGTAAAATATTTTCATCGACCGTGAATTAATTACTTGTAAACATATATGAAATGAAAAAGGTGAAGGCATCGACCAGTCATTGATCTAAAAATGTACAATACAATACACATTACATG